AGGAGAATTGCCTGAACCCAGGAGGTGGAGGTTGCGGTGAGCCGAGATCACGCCATTGCACTCCAGCCTGGGTAACAAGAGCGAAACTCCGTCCCCAAAAAAAAAAAAAAAAAAAAAGAAATTAACAAGATTAACTTTTTTTCAACTATTGGAAGAATAATTCTCTAAAATTGCTGTCCAATATAGCTGGCACTAGCCACACATGACTATCTCAATTTAATTAATATAAACATTTGTTTGCTCAGTTACACCAGCGATACTTTACATGCCAGTCTACTCCATTAGACATACTGTTTTCCATCACTGCAGGAAGTTTTACTAAACAGTGCTTTAATACAATGTAAGTTAACACATTTACATTTGAATATTGAAGGTGTAGTAGCCTTCAAATATCATTTCACATTTGCCCAAAGTGTTAACACCAATAACATAACTATACATATACTTACACAACAAGGTAATAAAACTACTCACCTCCAACTATCTGCCTGTACTTTGGACATCGCACTTGTGGCAGCCGACTCTTTATAAAAGTTTTTCTTAATCGGTGGTAAATCTGGGACAAAAATGAAAATCGACACTTTGATGAATGTACAACATCATTAATAGTTAGTCAAAGCTACAGAAATCATACAATATATTTTATTTACCACACCTATCATTTGAGAGTTCTACACTCTGCCAGCCAAGCTTGCTCCCATCGAGAAGATCTCCATTTCTGCACGCTGGGCACAAGTAGCTTAGACCTGTAATCCCAGCACTTTGGGAGTCTGGCATGGGAGGATCACTTGAGCCTGAGCAAAATAGTGACACCCTGTCTCTACAGAAATTTATTTAAATTAGTCTGGCAGCCAGGTGCAGTGGCGCACGCCTGTAATCCCAGCACCTGGGAGGCCAAGGTGTGTGAATCAGAAGGTCAGGAGTTCAAGACCAGCCTAGCCAACATGGTGAAACCCCAACTCTACTAAAAATACAAAAATTAGCCGGGCATAGTGGTGTGTACCTGTAATCCCAGCTACTCAGGAGGTTGAAGCAAAAGAACTGCTTGAACCCAGGAGGCAGAGATTGCAGTGAGCTGAGATGGCTCCATTGCACCACAGCCTGGGCAACAAAACTCAGTCTCAAAAAAAGCTTTGAATGGTATGTGCCTGTAGTCCCAGCCAGTTGAGAGGCTGAGGTGAGAGGATTGCCTAAGCCTGGGAGAGGGAGGCTGCAATGACTTGTGATTTTTCCACTGCACTTTTAGCCTGGACAACAGAGTGAAACCCTCAAAAACAAGTTTAATAAAAAATAAAATGATGCATGCTTTTTAAGGCATAAAACAACACAATTGATAAATATACTTTCATGCATAGTAGTTTGATTATCTTTTCTTTGAAGGTCCATCCAATTACTTTAGGAATTGCATCTATATCCTTGGTCTACTCTCTTAAGCTACATTCCTTAAAAGTATATTATACCAGGGCAGGAGCAGTGGCTCACACCTGTAATCCCAGCACTTTGGGAGGCTGATGTGGGTGGATCACCAGGTCAGGAGTTCAAGACCAGCCTGGCTAATGTGGTGAAATCCCATCTCTACTAAAAATACAAATCTAGCCAGGTGTGGTGGTGGGCACCTGTAATCCAAGCTACTAGGAAGGCTGAGGCAAGAGAATCGCTTAAACCCAGGAGGCAGAAGTTGCAGTGAGCTGAGATTGTGTCACTGCACTCTAGCCTGGGTGACACAGCAGGACTGTCTCAAAAAAATATGGTTTAACATTTAATATTTCCCTTGTAGCATAAATGACAGCTGACAACATA